TTTTAATGTATTCCTCTGAGCGGCCTTTAATTTCTGCATTGCTTGCTTCTGGGGCCCTAACTGAGCATTCCTTTAGCAAGATACATTCCAGCTTCTTCAATAACAGACCGTGTAAGTAAATCTTCCCAAAATAGGTCACTTTCGGAAGAATAATTTAAATGTATTCTTATCATTCAGGAATTAACCAGTGAAGGGATGTGGATCCTCTTTTGAAAGAGAAAGCTGCCCTTTCAAGAACATAAATCTATCAGGTTTTTGAGAAATGGTTTTCTAGAACAGGATTGTTACACTGCTGTTGCAAGATGAGATGTTTCAAGTAGAGATGCTAGATAAGGTCGTCTTAATTTTGTTAGCGTTGAAGAAGTATCACTTAAACATTGAAGGTGTTAGTTATTCAGGGAGAGAAAGAAGAATGGAGTCTTGGCCTTCTGTCATTGCTGCTGTTTCTACTGATCCAGCCTCCCTTGCGTAGAGCCCTGAAATGGACGTAAAGTTAGGAAGGTACTTAGCTGGCTTCACAGCCTTTTCAACTGGTGGTGGTCTAGGGAAGGAAGTTCCAGTACTAATGCTCAACTGCCATCCAAGAATATTAGAGCTTCTGATTGAAAAAATCCATCAGCCTATTTTCAGCCATCCAACATCAAATGTCAGGATTCCCATTTTAGTGATCTGTAACATTATCTTATAGGACAGAACCACTGAATCTTGGCTTCTCTCTTTAAAAGTGATGTAAAACCATTTGGCTGTGTACTTTTTAGATTAAAAAATATGGCAGAATATGAAGAACTCAATGAAAATTAAGCCTGAATATGCAGTCATATTTGCGTTTTTTCTTAATGTGAAGCTAGTGTCAGGAAGTTTCAGAATTTATACTGTATGGGAATTATAATAATGCTGTTCTCATTCAATAGATCAACCAGAGGCTTTTATATTGATTACTCTTTACTTTAGCATTCTGTTTTGGAGCAGAAGACAATACCAGAAAATCTGCCATCCCCAACAGACAGATATAAACTGAAGTATCGTCAGTATGAAGGAGATATGAAGGAAAAATATAAGCAGTATTCTCAGAGAATTGCAGAAAAGAAAAAAGACCACCTCCGGTGTCCAGAAGCTTCAATAAAGGTAGCTGGCAAAGAAGTAATCGCATTTTTAAATAGCAACTGTATGCTGGTATTTCATTACAGTGTTTGGAGAGGCGTGCATGTGTGTGTAGTTAATTTCTTCCATGTTTTTATTGTAAAGAAATAAAAATATGTGTAATTTCAGCATCTAATGTTGAGTAGGAAATAAAATATAGGAAGCTTGTTTTAGTTGTTCCAGAGTGAGAAACTGAGGTGCTCTAGGAATATAAGTATGCTTGTCTTCTCTGGTAAGCAATGTAACGTTTGCCCTCATAGTGCACCTCTAGCCTGAGCATGAAAATTAGCATGGTTGATAGGGAAGAGTTTGCAGCCTAAGAAAATGAGAGACAGCGGGAAGATCTTGGTAAAATGTTATTTCCAAATATAGAAATGCATTCAAGTGTTTTTATTTTTTAAATATAGAAGTATATTAATTATTATTCTATTCAATTATGACTGTATATAGGACTTAAAAAAGGAGAAGTGAGAGATGTAATCTGTACCTTAGAGAACTACTAACGCTGAAAATGGAAGGGAATATGGGGTTAAAATAATGAAAGCTATTATCTGTACTTTTTGCTTTGATGTTATATAAGGTCCAGTACAGTTAGACTGCAAGCAAGCTGTATTAATTCTGCCAGGTTTCTTTTGTGTTTTTAAATTAAAACTAAAATGCAAACAAGGGAAGATCAGTGGAGAGAAACTGGAAAGTAAAGCGGTGAAAAAAACCAACTTTCTTCTTGTTCTGGAAGAGATAGTGGAGAAGGGTGGTTGCCCAGAGCAAGATACGTCATTGTAGGTGTAAGTAAACAGGAGACAGAAGTAAGCAATAGCTGTGAGGAATGGTTGACTGCTAGACTGTGCTGAGGGTAGATGACCATTTAAGAATCTGAATGAAAAGTTAAGTATGCAGATGTTCAGGGAACACATTGTGCTCATTGCTTTTCAGAGAAAAGGTTTGTGATGAATAACAATGAGTTTACTGATTTTACTTGCTTAATCTTCAGTAGAATGAAAAGGGGAGGTCTTACATAAGACAAAGATTATGTTTCACATATTGTTTTACACCTGTTGTTGATAGTTTTAAAGGGGCTTTCTCCTCTTAATTTCTCCTCTGCTTAATGTTCAGTAGAATGAAAAGGGAAGGTCTTACATGAGACAAAGATTATGTTTCACATATTGTTATTGTTTTACACATATTGTTGATAGTTTTAAAGGGGCTTTCTCTGCTTATAGTCACGCTTCTAGTGTTCAGAACTAAAAGTTGGAGAACCTGCAAGTACCTATAAGTAAACTTTCTGTGAGTAAAAGAGTTGAGTGAAAAAACTAATTCTGTTATTTTGTTAAGTTTAATTTTTATATTTGGTGGCAGTTAAAGAGTGTCAGTTCTGGGGATTAGTTGTAGTATTACTTTTTTTTTTTTAAAATTATTCCACTTTTATGTACCAGTCTGACACAATCATGTCATCTGCTTTCCAAGGAGTAACTCCTTTATATGCTGTACTGCAAGCCCATCAAAAGGGTGTTTACAGGAACAGCCAAGTTAATCCGAAACTGAAGAAGTAAGTGGCAAGTGTATACTGGGAGAGAAAAAGCAGGACTAGCTTATTCTGGTGTTTTTGGGTTAGATACTTGCTAAGCACTAAAAGCCATGCGTGTCAGTTCTTATGACAGATTTTAACATAATGTCTAGCAGAACAATTTTCTGTGTTAGATATTACCACTACGTGATTAAATTAATAAATCAAAACCTCTTTAGATTTCAAGATACTTATTATTTTATCTGATTAGTGGAACTTGTAATAACTTTTCGTCTCCTAGAGGAGCATAGCTAACAAAAAATACTCTTTTGATTTCTTTTCCATGTGTCCTCCTTCCTGCCTTCTGTAAACACAGTCTCCTTTATCAGTTTTCTTCATATCCTCCATGTAGAAGATATTTCCATAATACCCTCAGACTGATTTACAAGTCTGTTGTACCCAGTTCAGCAGTATACTTTGGCTTTCCCCTGTCTAGACTGTATTTTGCTTCTTTGCTGGTCAAAACCCAGCATTTCTGCAATGGTGAGCTGTGAGCTATATGCATAATGGCAAATCTGCCGCTTTCACTTTGCTGTTCTTGAGCAGAACAGAAAAAGGATGAGCTCTCTTCTTCTGAGGGGTACTAACAGTCTACCTTCTCTGACCTGCTGCTGATTTTTCACAAGACTTGTAGGAACACAGTATTTTTGAGATTTTTTTTTTTTTTATTTCAGTATGGTTGAAAGCTGGTAAGTATTCAAAAGCTATAAGGAAAAAATAGAGAGCAAGATTTGTAAGTTCACTTTCTTTAGCAAGCTAGGCTTAAAAAAATTCTTTATCTAATTAGCCTGAAGTGGAAGAAGTAGACACTTTAAAAAATAAAGAAGAAAGAAATATACTTTAAAATAAATTGTTGAGAATGTGTTGTGTGGGGTTTTTCTTGTTTGTTTTTTCTTAGAATTAATTGAATTTGATTTATGAAAATAATGTATTTTTGTGTAGGATACACAGCTTGAAGGTGGACATAATGATGATCTTACAGCTCTTGATGAGAAAGCTCTTCTACAACAATGCTACACAAGCAAGCCCTATAATATGCAGCACAGTATAAGGAAATCAGAAGCTGTAAGTATTTTGGCTGGTATTATGCTGTTAACTGTCTAGGCTTGTAGAATGACTTCCCAGATGTTCCGCAGAAGTTAAGCCTTTGGTGATTTTGTCCTAGTACGTAATTGCACCCATTGAAATCATGGGAATTTAAACATTTGTTTCAATGGGAGCTGACTGAGCAATCCAGTGAGCATTTTTTTAATCTTATCTGCAATGCTTGTATCTTATGTAGCAATGTATATAAATGAGAATGCAAATTATGAATAATAAGTACAAATATATACATACAACTAAGATTAACTGAGTGAGTTGAGTGAACCTGAGTATAGTGTTACATTGCCTCTGGTCTGTAGCTTGTACCTGAGCCTGGATTCCATGATCCATGGATTCCATGATCCAGCTGATTCTATCAGCTCTTACTCTGACTTGTTTCTAGAGAAACCAGGCTGTTTTCCCTCATTAACTCCTGAAGTGGAGTATGTGATGAGAACTGGCTTTGTAAGCTGTATGGGCTCTGCTGCTGGTATCAGATCGGGTCAGCCACAGCTTTGGCTGAGTCTTCAAGCTCCAAGGATGGAGCTTCTACAGCATCTCTAGGCAACGCCTTCCTGTGATGCACTACTCTCCTTGTGAAGAAATTCTTCCTATTATCCACACCAACCCTCCCAAGGCTTAGTTTGTAATCTTGGCCTCCTGTTATACTGTTGGCCACTGTCAAAAAAAGTTTGGTTCTGTCTTCTTTGTAACTTCCCTTTGGTAGTAGGATGTTTTCAGAATGCCTCATAGCTGCTGCTTCTGCAAACTAAACAAACCCAAGCTCCCTTAGCCTCTCCTTCCAGTTGCTTTGGCTCTGATCCTTTGTCAGATCCTTACCAGGTTCCTCTCATCCCTATTAATTTTGGGAAGGAGGGAGCCCCAAAAACTGGGGACAAGTATGGCCTCACTAGCATGCATAGAGGGGAATTAAAACTTTTCTTATATGGACGTACCCAATATATTTCTTTAATTTCTTACATAGACACGATTTTTACTCTTTTTAGGACTGAACAATAGGAGTCTTGCCCATCTAAGGCTAAGCCTTGAATTTAGGATTATTTCCAATGATAAAGAACCTTGAGATTTGATATTGCATGATTAAGTATTTGCATATGCAGAGTGATGGCTTTCATAACTGTGTTTTGAAGATATTGTTGAATAGTTAGCAGTCTAACTTTCTCATGGAATACTAAGCCATGAGAAGTTTTATGAGATTGTAAAAGTGTATAATAATTTTAATTTATTTTGTTTGCTCATCACTATGCACTAAATTTTGCATCATTGCAAACATTTATTTGATTTCTAGTCTCGTCAAAGTGAATGCGGATGTTGCACTACTGAGGTCACTATTCATTTTCATGATAAGAAAATCTTTTCAGAAAGTACTTTTATGAAGAACTTGAAGAACCTCCAGTTTGTTATTTTTAGAATAAATTTTAAAATCTATACTATAAGGTGAAGATAATGGAAAAAAGTTTCAAAGTATCATTAGAGTAACTACTTAATGCTAAATCAAATAAGCTGAAAACACTGGGAAGGGGAGCAGTGCGGGACCACAAAATAACAGGTACACTGCAACTGGCATGCTTTAAAAGGAAGCCAGCAGGTGTCTGAGCAAGGTGTCACGGGGACCTTTAGAAGCCCTTTTGTTATTGATTAGCACTCATGGTTGCACAGGCTGGCTGTCTCTTGCTAGGAGCATCTCTTGGCTTCTCTCGGGTTCGAGCTTCTGATAGTGGTTGGAATAATGGAAAAAACTGGAAGTAGTAATTGCATACATATTAATTCCATTGGGTATATGTTGCCTCAGTTGTAGGCATTTGCTTTTAAGGTGCTTTGAAAATTTGCTTAAGAATACACAGCGTTAAAATTTCCTTTTACTGTAATCATTACCAAAAACTCTAAAGTAGAATTTCTCTTAATTTTTCTGTAGTTTGGGATGAAAGTTCCCTTATTCAAGACAGATTATAGTACATGTGTGATTGCCAATAGATGCTGTATATAATAAAACTAGGGTTTTTTTGGAAGAAGGTTGTTTTTTTCCGAATAATCTTATTTTGTGAACAAGAGTTAATACTTTTTAACCAGTGAGAGCTGCTGCAAGTTCAATGTTTGCCTCAGCGTTTTTGTAATTCATAGTAGAGCTTTTGTCTCAGCAATTTTGTAAATTCATAGTGGAGCTTTTGTCTAAGAGCTGGAAGATGTTCCATGGAAGAGTACATTTAGTGACCTAGTATTCCATTAAAATTCAAGGTGTAAGGTTTCTTTTTTTTAAAATCAGGTTCTTTTCAGCATGCTAGCTCGTTTGGCTCTGTAAGCCGGGGTCCATGGAATATGTTGCGTTTTAACAAACACTGCTCTGTATTATCACTGTGTCCTCCTTTACATAATGCTTTTTAATACATCTGTTGCGACAATTAATGGGCAAAGATTCAGTAACTCGGAAAAAAGCACCTGTAGTTCTGATAGGTGTAAAAATGAAATTTGAAAGCAAACTAAAAAGCCCCGTATCTCCTATAATTCAGAAATATTTTAAGGCTTAAAAATCAGTTTGGAATAAACACTAGCTGGTCTGATGTTACATTATTTGTTTGGGTTTTTTGGTTGGTGCCAATCAGTATTTAATTGAAGGTTGTGAATTATACCCATAACATCTCTGTGGAATTAGGGATTATCCCTTACAGTTATCTGGTGTCTGGGAACCAACTTTTGGTTCTTCTTCAGCCATGGGAAGGCTTGATCTGTCTGGAATTTGGTTTGCACACAAGAACTGTGTGGGGAAAAAATAACCAATCAGAAAAATATCTTAATTCTTCAGCTTCAGAATACCTACAGAGTTGTCGAAAAGGTTGCATAAACCCCCTCAGTAACAATAATCTCTGTTTTCTCATATATAAAAATTATTTCTTGGAGAAAAAAGGCAATTTTAAGTGCAGTGAAAAAGTTCAGAAGTCTGGAAGATAAAACAAAGAGAGATGCTGGGCCTGGTTGTGGCCAGTGGTCTCCATGCTGTCCTGGGGCATCTCTTGTGCTTTGGTTTCTATTTCTATGAAACAAATGATGATCAACACCTGAGCACTTCACAGTAAATGGCACAAGGTTATGGTTCAGTGTTACTCTAATAAAAATAATAATAAGATCATGTTAAATCCCCTCCCCCCTTTACTGAAAGGTTTTTCAGATTGGCCTGTCTCAGCAGAAAATTATTGTGGCATGCAGCAAATAAAAATTGTGCGTTGAGACTCAGTCTTAAAAGAATTTTTTTGACTAAATATTGCTGGAGGTAAAGTTTCGTTCTCTGAGTCGGAATCTCTGTCAACCATGAAACCTGGAATAGTGTGAGTTTCCTCAGGCTCTATTGTACTTACAGAATTTATTGGAAACAATACAGAGATAAGGATGCTGTCTGTCAGAAATACTAGAATTCTCATATTTATTGACAACTAATATGCATAGACAATTTGAGTGTGTAGCAGAGAATATTATTTGTCTATTTGTTATGCAAATAGAACTCTATTCAAAAAGATGGAAAAAAGATTAATTGTGACATTGGTAAGACTGTGACCTCTGAATGCTATCTTAAAGGGTAATTTATTATTTGAAGTGTCTGGTGTTATATATTTCATTTTTTCTCAGTCAGTTTTTCATTGCAGGAGGATGTTGCTGCAGAGAGGAGAAAACAGGCTGTAGTAGAACAAGTGATGGTGGATCAATTATCTAGGTAAGTGAATTTATAATGTAAAATTTTAGTTTTCC